TGTGGGTGTGGGTGACTTTTCGCAGAAGAACAGGGTGTGGGTTTGTGGTGGCATGTGGGTGTGGGTGACTTTTCGCAGAAGAACAGACACCCACACCCACACCCACACCCACACCCTTAGGATTTGCTTTATGGAAGTGCTCTTTAACAAAGTACTGATGAGTTTCAGGGACTATGATCAACATTACGATCAGAACGCAATATGAAAAGATTGACAAAAATATGAAAATGCTGCGCCAACCAAAAACTTGAGATAATGGACCATCGATTAAAGGACCAATGCTGAACGGCACGAAAAAAAATGCTTATGCTAACCCTGAATTTTCCTTGGGATAGATATCAGCTACCAAGGCTTGATCGACTACTAACGTTGCTGATATGGTACCACCCTCTATGATGCGACACGCAAGAAGATAATGATCGATATAATCGTCGTAATCTTTCGACCAAACCGATCTGAGACACATTCCCAAAGAAGACTCAAGATACCGCTCATGAACGAGTAGACTGATATACTGATTGCCACTAGTGTATCAGACGTTTTCAAATCACGAGCGATATCCTTGAGAGCAGGCAAGTATATAGGGTGTGGGTGTGGCTGTGGCTGTGGCTGCAGATTTAAAAACACTCATCCACACCCACACGCACATCCACACCGACACCCACCCACACCCACACCCACACCCACACCCTCATATATACAATTTATTTCACGCACACCGTCAAATTATTTCAGCTCATGAAATTTTGTAAGAAAACACGTTCCTACATCTCACCTCCCGAATGGTAAAGGTCACTGATTTTTAACTTTACCTTTTCCTACGTTATTGCAGAGTCAGTGGAAAGAATTATGTATTGAAACGGATATTAATATTTGACAAGCCGCGAGAAAAATGTTTTATTAAATATTGAATCAAGAACCAACCGGCCCTAATGAACATTATCGTCAATGACATATTAATATTGGTAACTGATATTTTGTTGCATGCGTTTCCGGTGACTTTTTCCGTCAAGGCATTCAATTGATACTGTTACTTTCTGAAGATCTTTGTTCTTCATTAATTGTTTTTCTCCTATATTATTACAATAATATATACAATTCACAAGAACTGATAGTAGAAAGCGAAAGTGTATTATTCGGTTCCATGCGGGCATTATTTATCCTTGAACTTTTGAGTAAGATAAGTGCCTTGTAGAATGAATGTTAAAACTGGTGAGACAACAGATCATTGTTCTAGATCATGTCAAGAAACAGTCATGCTGACTAACATTTTAGTTAATTTGATTACTAAATATGTTGCAAAGATGGTTTACTCTTGTAGGTTGGATCATAACACATGGTCACTTATAAGTTTTCGATTAGCCCCGACCTATTTCCATTAAGGAGTAAGAAACTCGAAGCTCAATAACTTTTAAATGGTGAAAAACCTCTTTTCTCGAATAGAAACAAAAATTTTCAATTGATATTTACCAGTACGGAAGTCACTTATAGTGACATAGCAATCATGACTTCGTGAATTTCATATAGAGAACATAGCTTCAAGTTTCAAAATTAGTTTTTTTATTGCTCGTCAATTAATATCTGATATGATATAAAGTGACATTGGTTCATCCGGAGAGTAAAGG